CCCTCCCCCCCCCCCCCCCCCAAATTCTTTCTCTGCCTATGGGACAGGTCAAAATGGGATAGTTGCCAGCCATATCCAGGCTGCATGTGCAGACTTCCCCACAGAGCCCAGAGCTGGCTGGAAACTGACCCAGTTAGGGGCAGGTCCGATCCAGCTCTAGGCTGTGTGGGGAACCCTTTCCATGCAGAGTTCCCAGCGTGAGCTCTGTGATGGTAGAGCACAGGATGGGGAGCTTGTTCCTAGCCCCAGCTCTGTGATGGTGAGCTAGAGCTGGGAGCAATTTCCTCAGCCCCCACTCCACGATGGCAGAGCGGGGACTGGTGCTCCCTGCTGCCAGGGTAGGGGCACATTGTCCCCTCCTGGGCTCCAGTGGGGGAGCCTGCCCTGGCAGCAGGCAGCTCCCGGGGGCAGGGAGAAATTTCCCTCTCCCTGCTGCTTGGCTGATCTGGAGCAAATTTGCTCCTGGTTGGCTGTCTATATGTGCTGTACTGTGCAGTAATTAGTCATGAGTAAATTTGCTATTTGTATTTACATGTAGGATATTTACTCACAATTAGAGCAAATTACTGCGCAGTAAGGGTCAGCACGTATAGATGGTGCCATTTACTACACACAATAATTAGTTCTACTGTGTAGTAAAGAGTCTTGTGTAGACCTGCCCCTAGATCTGTTATTGCTGATGTGTGTTTACTTCTCATGCTTAGTAGCTGGGTGTATACTTATGTGAACAGGTAATAAAATGCTTTTTGTACAAGTAATAGAATCACAACTATGCAAAGTTGCCAAAAAATGCTACTTTCACAGCTGGAAAACTGCCATTTGGGTGTGGAAAGAGAATTCTGCACACGTCATATCCTCTGCTAGTCTATGTCAAATCAGGTTTTGATTTTAGTGGTTCTGTGGAGGTTTAAACCACCGGTTTATCTGGCTCTTCAAGTTCTATCATGCCATGGTCTGTCTTAACCCATGTGACTGGTCCAGAGTTCATGTTGGAACCAGATTTCTCTAATGACAACTCTGAAAGAGGCTGGGTATAGCCTACCTTGTAGAACTTCACTAACGGCTCCTTGGCCTAAGCATTACAGTAATATAATGTTCCTCTTCTAGTTTGCAAGAAAACACTGATGTCAGAAGAACTATCCTAATAGTGCCAGGTAGCCTTTTAGTGAAGTGTGACTTCTGTATTATTATCTGAAATTCGGAGATTTTTTTCTTTGACTTCTCTTCCAGGTGGTGCAGCTAGAGGAGCTTCTGGCTGTGCGACACTCTGTTTTTTTGGTGGGTAATGCTGGAACAGGCAAATCTCAGGTTTTGAAATCTCTTTACAAGACTTACCAAATAATGAAGCGTCGCCCTGTCTGGACAGACCTCAACCCCAAAGCAGTCACCAATGATGAACTTTTTGGCATTATCAACCCAGCAACAAGAGAATGGAAAGATGGTAAATGTATTCAGCTCCAACACCCCCCAACAGTGAGAGTAAACTTAATCAAATACAGCCACAGCAGTAACAATAGTTCTTTGCACTCATGCATGGTTCCAAAGCTCAAACATTCATTCATCTGACATCTGCAGTATACTGTGGTTTTGTTGCTGATAGGTCATGTGGGATACCCTACCCATTCTGATTTTTAATGAGTTGTCTTGATATAAATCTTGCTTTAATATAACTATATCATAAATATCCATGTATGAAAGACTAAATGGAATAAGCTGCTGCTCATGATGGGCTTAACCAGAATGCTTGGGATATTTTCAAATCAGGAATGATCTAATTACATGAGAGTGGAAAGGGGCACTGTTACACCACTGTATCTTGTCTTCATCATGCACATTTCACCCTCTCTCCACCATTAGTAATACAAATGTCAACAGCATTTCCATAAAGATTTCCCATGCCTCACAAGTGGCATGTGCTGGCTCCTGGTCCCTTTGTAAAATACCAAATATTTTAGTGTGTAAGTATTTATGTAGGGAAAAGTGATCATTTTGTGGACTTTTGGTCTGTGCTGCAGAGCTTCTGCTATATTTTCAGGATTATTACTCTTAATATTCATTATTTACTTCCCCTCAGTCTCTATGTTGTACCACAATATTATAGTGCTTAGGGTCAGAAGGGACCTAAACAGATTATCAGGTCTGACCCCCTGCCCTGGGCAGGAAAGTGTGGTAGGGTCATATAATCCCAGCCAAATATCTGTCCAGTCTCCTCTTGAAGACCAAGGTAGAAGAGAGTACCACCTCACTTGGTAGCCCATTCCAGAGCCTCACAGCCCTAACTGTAAAGTAATGTCTCCTGATGTCCAGCCTGAACCTTCTGTCTAACTATTTGAGGCCTTTATTCCTAGTAACCCTGGGTGGTTCCCAGGGGAACAGAGCCTCCCCCAATTCTCACTGGTCATCCCTGGTGAGTTTGTAAATGGCCACCAGATCCCCTCTCAGTCTTCTCTTGTGGAGGCTGAATAGATTCAGGCCCTTCAGCCTCTCTTCATACTGCCTGTCCCGCTACCCCTTGACCATGCAAGTGGCCCTCCTCTGGACCCTCTCAATGCTAGCCACATCCCTCTTGAAGTACGGCATCCGGAACTGAACACAGTACTCCAACTGTAGCCTGACCAATGCTGCATAGAGAGGAAGGATCACCTCCCTGGACCTGCTTGTGATATATCTGTGGATGCCCAACAAGGTGCGGCTAACCTTACTGGCCACTTCCTCGCATTGGCGGCTCATGTCCATCCTGGAGTCAACAATGACTCCAAGTCCCCTTTCTGCCACTGTGTTGACAAGAAGGGTGTGTTGCTGGTTCCTTTTCCCTAGTTGCAGTACCCTGCACTTGTCTGCATTGAATTCTATCCTATTCTCATCCGCCTACCTCTGTAATTTGTCTAGATCTAACTGAATTCTCTCCCTCCCCTCCAGCATGCCCACCTTGCCCCACAACTTGGTATCATCAGAGAATTTGGACATTGCACATTCCACACCCGCATCCAGATCAGTGATAAAGATGTTGAACCGTACAGGCCCCAGGACCAAGCCCTGGGGGACTCTACTGGCCACATCCCTCCAGATCGAAAACAACCCATCCACCACCACTCTCTGGGTACGACCATCTAGCCAATTTGCCACCCATCTGACTGTGTAGGCATCAATGCCACAGTCACCTACATTTTTTTTAAGAGAATGTGGTGGGAAACGGTGTTAAAGGCCTTCTTAAAGTCCAGGAAGATGACATCCACCCTGCTCCATCATTCAGGGACTTTGTGACCTTATCCTAACAAGAAACCAGGTTAGTCAGGCAGGACCTACCCTCAATGAACCCATGTTGGTTGCCCCTGAGCATTATCTCCCCTGCTGGGCCCTTGCAAATATGGTCTTTCACAAATTTCACAGACATTAGGACTGGAAGGGACCTTAGGAGATCATCGAGTCCGGCCCCCTGCCCCAGGGGCAGGAAGTCAGCTGGGGTCACAGGATCCCAGCAAGATAAACATCCAATTTTTTCTTGAAGGTGTTCAGAGTAGGTGCTTGAACCACCTCCAGTGGCAGGCTATTCCAGACCTTGGGGGCCCAGAAAGTAAAGAAATTCTTTGTTATGTCCAGCCTAAAACAGGTCTTGCAGGAGTTTATAACCATTCGACTTTGTCATCCCTTGGGGTGCTCTGGTGAACAAACGTTCCCCCAGAAACTGGTGGTCACCCCTGATAAATCTATAGGTGGTCATCAGATCCCCCCTGAGCCTGTGCTTTTCCAGGCTGAAGAGCCCCATGGCTCTCAGCCTGTTGTAGTAAGGTCTGTTTTCCTGACCTCTGATCATGCGCGTGGCTTTTCTCTGGACTCTTTTGATAATTTTCTCAAAGGTCTTCCCAACGACTGAGGTAAGACTGACTGGCCTATAATTGCCAGGGTCCTCCTTTCTCCCCTTCTTGTAAATGGGGACCACATTGGCCCTTTTTCAATTCTCTGGTACGTGGTCAGAGTCCCATGAGCACTCGCAGAGCCTTGCTAGGGGCCCCGCTATGACCCCCACCAGTTCCCTCAGCACCCTTGGGTGAAGAGTATCTGGACCTACTGATCTGTACTGATTGTATTAGTCTCCTTGATTTTACTGACACTTTTTTCTATCAGTATCATCCTTAGTGTTTCTCCCCTTAGTCTTTCCAAAACTTTCACCCAGGGCTTAATGCATCATAATTTCCCTGAATATAATTTCACCTGAGGAAGCATTTATAAGAAACTCCAAGACACAATCACATGGTTTTCAGTTTTTGTGTGTGTGTGTGTGTGTATTAATTCACATCTCTTTTTACAAGTGTAGAGGATCTAGAATTCCCTATTTTTGCCTTCTGCCATTCCCAGGAGTATTGAGCTGCATGCAGGTCACAATAGTTTTCACTAGTGCTAACAATGTACCATTTTCTCTAAAGCAGGTTAGTTTGGGATTGTGCTATGGTGGTTTGTGTTACTTAACTTGCACAAACTTACAGTGGAGTAACAGGCCTCTAAATATGAAGCAGAAATAAAGAGGGTTGATTCCTTATCAAGTGCTGGATAAAGTTGGTAGGGCAGGATGAGTATTCGCTGAACAATCTGTGTCATCCTCTTAGGACTTTTTTCATCGATCATGCGAGAGCTGGCCAACATCACACATGATGGTCCTAAGTGGATGGTACTGGATGGGGATATTGACCCAATGTGGATTGAGTCTCTTAATACTGTCATGGACGATAATAAGGTAATATGTGAGAGCTAGGGAAATGGCTATTGCTTGACCACATGGCACAAATCAAGCCTAGAAGAAGCACATATGCTGAAACAATTGCTGATAGTATAAAACAATTGTTATTGTGTTTCTTCAAATAGAAAAAAATATATCAAATGAAGATAATATTGCATCAGATAAGTAGAAGAGCAAAGCATGGCTTTCTGGGAGCATGTTGTTACATTGGAGAGGTGCAAATAAAATTGTCTTTCTGTTGCAGCCACTACTTCAAAATCCAGGAGCCCTCTTAAAAATAAAAGATGTGCTCTTGTTACAAAATGTGGTTTTTGTCCTTTCCCCTTGCATAGGGGTTGCATTCTGGAATACAGTTCTCTTCATAAGATATATGATGGTGGAGAGAGATAGTTATATGGTTCAAAATTGCCTACTTGTAATTCAGTATCTCAGGAAATATCCTTGGGATCCTTGCTTTTGAGCTGTATGCTCCATGCAGGATTCTTATAATAGCTCCAAAGTTTTGTGGCACATGAGTCACTGATGTGTCTTCAACAATGCAAAGCAGCCATCTCTTTGGAGAATGGTGCTAAACCTTTTGCCTGTGGGACAAATATGGCCCATGGAGCTGTGTCATCTGGCTCACAGGGTTCCCCACGGGTCGGGAAATTTGGCAGTGGAGAGGACTGGCACTTAATGCTATTATCACAACCCTGCCAACAAATTTCTGAGCCTTGTGGACAGGTGACATGGTTCTGTGCATCAGGTTGGTCTAATATGTGGGAATGAGGCTGGGGCTTGACCCGGTGTGCTAGGGGTCAGGGCTGGAATCTTATATGACAAATGCAGGGCTGGGACCAAGGCCAAAGCCTGGCCCAGGATGGCACGTGCAGGGCCTGGGTCTGATTCAGCAAATGGGGCTAGGGTCACATGTAAAATGGCACCTGTACAATGACCCTGCATTGAATCAGGCTAACAGACTGATACTATACACCAGATCTGGCCCATAGACCAACCCTACACTACCCATTTGGTCTGCAACCCAGAAAGATTGGGCACCACTGTCTTGGGACATTATAATTCTGCTACTTGCAGAGTCGAAAGCCACACGTTTCGTAACATCTTAATATTTATTCCATATATATATTGCAGCTATTGAAACAACTCAGTTGAAGATGTAAGGGATTCTTCATTGCTTAAAATCTTTAGGTCTGCATTGATTATTTTTCTCCAATGGATGCATTAGCTGAAGCCGAAGTTGTCAGCTTTATGAAGTAATTATTGGGTGAAATTCCCATACCTGTGCTATACAAGAGATCATAAGAATCCCTTTGGGCCTTAACTTTTATAAATCTATGGGCATGTCTGTATGTGCAAATAAGCACAATTAAATTTAATGTGTGTTAAGTGACTTTTGGCAGTGTCTTCAGGCAAGGTGCACACCTACCAGCAGAGGCCAGGGCACTGGGTGTGGGAGGCTCTAGTGGAGTACCTCGTGTTGCACTCTCCCCTCTAGCCCACCTGCCCTGCCTCCCGCACACCTCCTACCCCCGGTCACCTCCAGCACCATGCTCAGGATGTGCATGTGGTTGAAAGAAAAAAAGCTTTATTAGCCTCATAACCCCCACCTCTATCCCTCCCCACTCCCCTCAACATATAGAACCCTGTCCCTACTATCTCCCCAACAAACAGAGCCCCTCCAACACCCCCCCACCCACCAATAAAAAACCGTTTTCCCAAAATAACTATTTACAAAAGTCTCAGTCTTTTGGCAGGGGTGGGGGGAGGAGGGGATAGGGGCCTAGCGGGCAGAGCCTGGAGCAAGTGCTCAGCACTCCAGCCTTGGGCCGATCCCTCGTGGATCCAGGGGCCACAGCAAGTGTGGCAAGCAGTGGGCTCGTCCTCAGTGGCAGACAGCTCCCCCTCTGCCTGCCCAAATAAAGTGTCACCGTTCCCCTTTGGTGCTGTGCCTGGCACATCTGGGTCTTCAGCTGCATGGCCTTGGGGTGAGTGGTGGGGCTGGGCCTGGGCAGGTGGCGGGGAACCCAAGGTAGGAGCCAGGCCAGGGGCTCCAGAATGGCTGCTGGCTTTTATAGCCTGCAGGTAGGGCTGCCATAGAACAGCCCAGGCTGGGGCAGGAAAAAGGCCTAACCAGGAGCCCTGGGGTTAAGCTTAGGGTGGCCCCCTAGTGGCTATGCAAACCTGGCACTAAAGTTAGTGCTGGGTCATGTCTACATGTGTGTTTCATAGATTTCATAGATGTTGGGGCTGGAAGAGACCTCGAAGATCATCAAGTCCCGCCCCCTGCCCCAGGGGCAGGAAGGCAGCTGGGGTCAAAGGATCCCAGCAAGATAAGCATCCAAACACTTCTTGAATGAGTCCAGAGTAGGTGCCTTCACCACCTCTGGAGGGAGTCTATTCCAGGTCTTGGGGGCTCAGACATTAAAGAAATTTTTGCTTATATCCAGCCTAAAGAGGTCTTGGAGGAGTTTATGACCATTGGTCCTTGTCTTTCCTTGGGGTGCTCTGGTGAACAGATGCTCTCCCAGATCCTGATGTGCACCCCTTATA